TAACAACAACCTAAAGTACTCAATTGCTTCCACATCTACCGATTGTCCGTCGCCCACAAAGATGTGTCTTCCAACATCACTTGGCTTTCGGTAGCTCAGGCAACCCTGCATAGAAACACTTATGTGAGTAGTAGCACTAGAGTCTAACCACCAAGTGTTTCTAGGTACTGAAGCTAAATTAACCTCAGAACAGACCAAAGCAAGGAACGTACCCTTATTATCACGCCAGGCGTGATATTTTGTACAGTCCTTCTTTACATGTCCAGGCTTCTTACAGAAGAAACAACCCTGATTATCCTTATGTTGTTTCTTCTCAACTGGACCCTTAGCAGCTTCCTTATCATTCTTCCTTTTCTTGCCCTTATCCTTAGAGGCATAGGCCAAATGAGCACTTTCTGTCTTATCTTGCTTCAACCTGTCTTCTTCTTGCACACAGTATGAAATGAGCTCATTTAGAGTCCATTTCTCCTTTTGACAGTTATAACTGACCTTAAATTGGTTAAACTGTGCAGGAAGAGACAACAAAACCAGATGCACTAATAACTCGTCACAAAGATCGAGTTTAAGTGCCTTAAGCTTTGAAGCAATATGAGACATTTCCATAATGTACTCCCTGATATTTCCTTTGCCCTTATACTTCATTGAAATCAAGCGAGCTAAAAGCGTGCTTGTTTCTACCTTATCGTTTTTCGCAAAACGTTTCTCAATTTTGGCAAGGAAATCTTTAGCCTTAGTAATCCCTTCGGATTCTATGCCCCTGAAGGCTTCCGGAATGCCGCGCTTAATGATCATTAGACTCATGCGATTTGAACATTCCCATTTCTCATACTCCTTCTTTACATCAGGAGTGCTATCCGCATTGAGAGGTTGTGGTTGTTCAGTTCTTAATGCAAAGTCTAAATCCATGCAGCCAAGAACAATTAAAATGTTCTATTTCCAAACCTTAAAATTAGACCCATTGAGCATGGGAATTGAGTTGATGTTAGCAGAAATTGTTGCAGCAGATGCATTAGCTGAAATAAACAAAAGATTTTTAACCTTAATTAGTGATCAATAAAATTCAAATAAAGATAAATCTCATCTCAAGATATCTGGTACAACATTAATATCAAGTCTTTGGACAATAATATTAATTGCAAGTGATACCTTGTTGCAATGATCAAATACTGACAATAACGCATGTCAAATAATGAAACTATCTTTGGATCGATTCATTATCCACATGTAAACCTTATAATCGTCACGTATTTATCATCACAGATGCGTATGCAATCTAAAAATAAATAATAACCTTCCTTTGGGCCGATTAAATATTTACACAAAAACATACACACAAACATCTAACATCCCTCATGAACAATCTACACAAGAGAGGTTACTTTGGCAACTTCTTGTTTCAATCGATCATTTAGAATGAAAGACAACTTTAATACCTTAGTGTCATATTATTTGAAATAACTAATTGATCCACTACCAAATTTAATTTAAATCAACTGAATTTCCATAGCGCAATTAAGGGCCCATAATGAATTATGACTCACAAATAGGATTTAATTGATAAATTCAATTAATCCTTGTGCCCAAAACGAGCTTAAGGAGCTTATACCTGATAATTAAATACAGGTCCAAATTCTTAATAAATTTCTCAAGTCAAGGCCCAATGTTTAAAAAAAGGGCACCAAAATGAACGCAAGGCTCATTTTGGAACAAACGCAAGGTTCGTTTGACTGAGCACGAGGCTCGCCGCATGTTTCGACGAACACAGGTTTCGACGAACGTAGGTTTCGACGAATGCAGGTTTCGACTGTATTGAGTACGAGACTCACTTAAGCACGAACTCGAGGTTCGTCTGAAAATGAACATGATGTTCAACTTGAGAACGAACGCGAGGTTCATTTGAAAAATGAACGCAGGGTTCAACTTGAGAACGAACGCGAGGTTCGTTTGAAAAACGAACGCGATGTTCGACCTGAGAATGAACGCAATGTTCAACTTGAGCACGAACGCAATGTTCGTCTGAAAACAAACGCGATGTTCGACCTGAGAATGAACGCAATGTTCGACTTGAACGCAATGAACGAATGAACGCAATGTTCGTTTGAGAACGCACGCAGCGTCAACGAACGCAGCGTTTGACGAACGCATGTTTCATTAGAGAACGAACGCAAGGTTCGTTTGAAAACGAACCTAACGAACGCAAGGTTCGTTTGAAGCTTTCAAGCCTCGCCAAAAAATTGAGGTAACCACCTCCTTAAATTGAGGTAACCACCTCCTTAATTTGAGGTAACCACCTCCTTAATTTCCGCACGTTTTCACGCGCACGAACCCCTTGAGGGTTTAATCTGAAACCGCCGCCGCTGAATCAACTCCGACGAGGAGTTTTGGAGATTGATGACAAATAAAAAAATCCCAAAAAAAAGATAATTATTTTTCCTGTCGATTTTTGAACTCAAATCATTTAGATCCAAACCTCAAAAATTGAATCAAACACAAAAGAAATGAACTTTAGAGTTCATAATTGCTACATATCCAAAAATCGAAAGAAAAAACCAAACAACCTGGAAATTTTACTATTCATCCGAAAATAAAAATCTTTACTGTTCACCCAAAATAAATTTTTTGCTGTTCACACGAAAATAAAAAAAAATTCCTGTTCATCCGAAAATGGATCCGAATCAAACACAAATTAAGATCAAAGAACCCTAATTTTAATCTTAATCTCTTAGAACAAATCAATGGTGGCTCTGATACCACTTGTTAGATCTAATAAAAAACTTGAGATCTAAACCATAAAGCCATGATTTAATTCAAAGAGATTAACAAGAATCAAAAGGTGCGGAAGCATATACCTGAATCCATTAAAGAAAACTTGATTAGGGTTTTGATGATCTTCTAACCTTAGGGTTTCTCTCTTATGGATCTCTTTAGATGGGGATAAGAGAATGAGAGTGGTTAACCCTAGATTAGGGACCATAACCCCTTATATATAGGTGTTGTATATTTGTAATTTTGCCCCTCATCAAATTACAATTACAATCTGGTATCTGCACATATAACCCCATGATATATTTAAATATCTATTAACCCAAATTGATTGATCACTTTAAGTGAGTTATCCTTAAAGATAGTAATACACTTTGATTAATCATATGTGCCCACAAATAGATTTAATTAGATTTAAATCCAACAATAGAGGGTTTTGTTTACTTACAACTTGTAATGTAAAAGAGATGGTTAGCAGTTTTACAGTCAATTCTACTAAAGAACCAAGATACAACTTTTAGCTATAAAATATAACCCACTTGGACATTGTGGACTGTGTTAAACTAGCTAGTATGGAAACTATTGTACATTAAGAGGCTGTTTGGTTTGTTACAAAATTAAATTTCAGCAGATGTTGCATGTAACATTTAGGGGCTGCTTGGTTCGTTTCCTTGATATAGGGAAATGCAATTCCATGTAAAGAAATATAAGTTTTGAGTTTTCCAAACTTTTTCAAGAAATAGATTGTTTTGCTTTGGTTCGCACATAAAAAATGGTGAGAAACCAATGTATTTATTTTTCTTGTGTTTGGTTCGCATAGAAAAAAAGGAAAACTTTTGTAAACAAAGCAGAGAAGGAAAAAAATCTGACGTGACAGAGTTTTTATCAATTTCACTCGGTTGGGGAAGGAAATCGGAGAGGGAAAAAAATCTGAGCTGGTGGCGATTTCAACAGAGTTTTCCCTCTTCCATCCGAGCGAACCAAAGTGGCACAAAGAAATGGACGAAAACAAAAAAACTGATGTGGAGGGCTAAATATCTGACGTGGTGGGGTTTTCTGAGTTTTCCACCCCTTATAATAGCGAACCAAACAGCCCCTTATTGTAAGAAATTAACTTTAATTTCGTTGTTTGGATGTCTGCAATTATATTCTAGGAAATGTATCTTTTAAGTTTAATGTAAATTTAGTGTTTGTTTAAAAACTAATTAGTGCAAAAGGCACGTATAATTTTTCCAAATAAGGAAGCTTAGGGGTAAATGATTATCTGTTTTACTATAAAAAGATTTATTTTGATGAGATGAAGTATTTTCATTTTTATTTTTTGACCCTTGTAGCTTTTGCTCCCACCTTGACCGTAGCATTTTGTTGCAAGTTTTTTCTATAAAATACAAGTCCCTCTACCTTTCCTAATTACAAAGTTGCAAACCAAACAATATTTTTACAAATATGATTACTCTATTTATTTACTTTTGTAATTCTATTTCCATTTAATCAAACATCAATACTTATCAAAAGCCCAAACATGCCCTTTGGTGCAAATTAAGTTTAAGGCCAATAAGAAAGACAATCTCCAGATCTCCACATGCATATGTATTGAATACCAATGATTCAGATTCACTTAAATGTTTCTTTTAGCTGAGGATATTAAGGAGAAAAAATTTATCATAAACCAATATCTGCAGGCTGAGTATAGGAAAACTACATGCTGATATATAGCTTGGTAAGCATTTTCTGTGGTTTGCTTGTAAATTTATATATGGACACCTATATCATGAATTTGGGTATATGAACATACGATTTTATGCACAAAAATAAGCAGAATAAAAGTTTGTTGAGATCTGGCTCAGTGATAAAGAGATAAACTAATAGAAAGTTTAAAAAAAATATACTAGCCTATTGAATCAAAGAATAGAGACAATAAGTACACCAATTCTCCACAAGTCTCACAATGTAAATAGATCACGCAAGACAAATTATTACAATGAGAGTCATATCCACACTACAAACTAACTATACCATCTAAAAAGAGAACTAAAGATAGGAGAAGCTAGCAACTGCAACCGTGACACAAAGAGCCAGCAGTGAAGATGTGAGCCTCAGAGAGCCGGACGTAGACGGCGAAGGCGAAGTAGGCTGATCAGGGAGGACCTGAACAGGCGGCAAAACGGGGGGAGCGGTCGTCGGAGGAGTTGGTGGCTTTGATGGAGCCGGAGATGGCGTGGACGGTGACGGTGGTGATAAATTAATAATCAAAGGAAACTGGTGCCTTTTATAATAATCAAATTAGAGAAGACTAAATGTAGTAAAAGTAGCATCTGATTAAGCTACAGATTGGCATGACATAGAAATAGCGGAACACTCACCACCGGGAACCGGAGCAGGGCCAGGGGCAGGAGTAACTGCACCCAAAACACAAGAATGAGGAAATTTCATAAAATTAAAATTAAAACTTTCACGTGCAATACTTTATGAGTTACTAGTATAACAATATAATTTTTGTTTTGTTAATTCTTCGAAATGGCTAGATATGACCCTATTATACGTTAGGAATTGTTGGCAATGTGAGAATACTGACATGCGTATGAACTCATAAGAGTCTGTTTGAAATCTTCTAGTATGCTATTACTTATTTATTTTCCGAATTATGTTTCATGGTTTTAGGATAAATTACTTAGAATCTCTATAGTTTGTTAAATTACTTAGAATCTCTATAGTTTGTAGAATAACAGATAACTCCTTTAAGATTTCATATAAAACTGAAACTATATCCCCGTGATCGTCAACACATCTCATCAGAACACCATGCATGCGAGCATGGGATTTGAGATGCACATTGCGGCTGCATGAGATACAATAAAATGCCCCCTATCAATCCCAATTGCAACGCGGCTCATATGCCCCGCACGCATGCGGAGCATTCTCAGGGGATACATACTCTCAAATAATCATCCATTACTTGTGTAATCATTAATTTTCTTTGTAATTTTCTTATACATGTTTTCTAATATAATATACGCCGATCTTTTAATATAACCTTCACTTTAGTTAGTGGGAGTACCAATTCTTTAATCTTAATCATGTAAGATCTAAGTGTCCATATAGTTATGTTTGATCTTGTACAAAAAACAAAGAGAGTATGGTTCAAGCGAGATATTACATCGATCAGATATGAAATGAATCATAATTAGTCGAAGATTTCGAGATGGCAGTAGAGAGAAGATTGTATCTTTATTTCCCCCCCCCTGCTGATGATTTTGAACCGCAATTAAAAAAGACCCCCTCACTCTAAACGAAGTTTTAGAATGAAATTATGCACCGAATTAAAATTCAACCAGTAAAAACCAACATACCAGTGCAGTCACCAACACCAGGAGGGAGAGGCACGGAGCAGGCCAGAGGCATCTTCAGCGCACGGGCCATATCAATCTTGATCCCTAAATCCGACGCCATCCTAAACCCTTCACACAAACAACCCGGGCTCGTGCTCACGACTGATTTGAGCTCGTCACAGCACTTGGCCGCGGGCGAGCTCGCATTGCTCCCTTCTTGTATGTAATCCAAGCAATCCATCATGCTCATTATCTTGTCAGAGCAACTCGGAGAAGGCGGCGACGACGACGACGGAGGAGAAGCGACGGCGATGGCCGTGATGGTGAAGCATGTTGACAAGAGAAAGAGGAAGCATGAGACCTTTGTAGCCATTTTCAGTGGATGGAGATGACTATTGTACGTCAAGAGGTCATGGCTTGGTAAGTGAGGGGTGAGGATATAAATAGATAGAGACGGATGAGCGGAGAGTTTGGAAGAGATTTGGAGGTTGGTTTTCATTTCTCCGGAGATATCTGAGGGATTAGAGTGATTTTGGGTGGTTTGTTTAGATTTGTTGAAGAGTATTTGATTACGGGTAATTAAGAAGCAAATCAATGGCTGAGTTTTTGAAAGTTCAAATTATTGAGCTAGGGTGAAATATGCTTGAATACTAGCAATTGGCTTCGATATTTAAAATCTTCTGTTAATATTTAGGCTGTTGTTGCTGTTGGACAATCTGTATATGTCTAGTACATCTGTCATGTTGTTCTTTCTTTTCCTCCATAAATCAGTAACCGTAAACAAACAAGAGATATGATATGACGATTCACCAAATTTGTCTTGTTAGCTAGAAGTAAGAAGTAGCATACTTGTCACTAACTCATTCTTGAAATAAACGGGATTCAAATTTGAAATTTGAATGCTGGTTCAAGGGTAACGATTTTTTTGTTTTTTTGTTTTTGTTTTCGTTTTTTTTTATTTTTATTTTTTTTGGGGGGGGGG